AGAAAAATTCGATAAAGGGAATATATATTGAATATTACATGTCTTGACGGTAGCAAGAATTGCATATGCATAACAATGGAAAAACTAGGAATCACCCATAGAAGAAAATGAATTTTTTTTTTAAACTAGATTGTGCAGAAATGGATAGGTTGACATTAAATGACACACTGGTAGAGATTGCTTATTGAAAAATCTTCCATTGTTGTGGTCCTTTGCTTTCTGAAGGCCGACAACCTCGTGTGTGGGCAAACTCTCTGAACTGATGCAATGGAAGAGAACTATGAGAACACTATGGCACATAAAGACCTTGCTTAGTTGTTTTTCCCTTCTTCTGCCTTGAAACTCTGCCCACTGACAGATTGCATCAACTCTCCACTGACACCACTGACCTTTTGGCAAGTTGAAGAAATGTCAATTTGTCATGGTAGGCCTGTCACCAAAAGGACTGAACTGGTGACGTGGAAAGGTTTGTATGCTTTCGACTCACTCTCTGAGCAATGGAAATATGTTGTGATTCTGAAGCATGCCGATTCCAAAATGACTATCCAATGACCTGGCTTTCAGGACCCGTGAGCAACTTGATGTGCTTTTAAATAGTCCAAAAGATTTCTGTTTTTAGAAACAGGGGGATAAAGTTGGGCATTGAAGAGTTTCTTTCATATTTCTGGATTTTTAACGTAGGATTAAAATAGCTGATGTAGGATTAACAATGGTTGACAACAAGTACGCCATTGTTATGTAAGCATGTGCTTAAATCTGAAGAGCTGCAGAAAATGGCGGCATCTGGTTGACCTTATCTAGGTTCATAAGTGAAACGTGGGTCACACTGAATGGGAGACCATCAGGAAATGCCAGGGATGTAGACTAGGTTGGAAGTAAAAGAAGACAACAGAAATTACTTCTGGGAATCTACCCATGATGTCATCAAGACTCAGCCTGAAAATTTCACTCATACCTAAGCATGTAAAAGATGGAGACGATATATCAAGAAAGCTAAAAGTTCAGCTTGTTTTTTTTTTTCCCCAATAGAAATTGGCTTTATTTATTCTGTTCTAATTTTTTCAGTGTTAGTTACTGAAAGATCTTCCACAATAGGAGTGTCATTTATTCAGGCAATAAAATAAAGACACATAGACCTACACCTAAAGGCAGTCCTAAAGAGTAAATGTATTTTTAAAAATTTAATTCAAATGTGCAAAGAGAACCAGTTTGGTGTAGTGGTTAAGGTACTAGCCTAGAAATCAGGAGTTCCATAAGTTCTAGTTCTGTTTTAGTAATGAAGTTGACTGATGACTTTGAGCCAGTCCCTCTCCCTCAACCAAGCTCACCTCACAGTTGTTATGATGGGGAAAATAAACATGTTCATTGCCTTTGGACAAAATCACCATCAGTTAATTGCAAAGGGCAGCTTTGCTTGGAACACTTTACATCAGTGTTTCTCAACCTTGGCGACTTGAAGTCCACAGAACTTAAAGACGCCAAGGTTGAGAAACACTGCTTTACATGCTGTGATCAGGGGTGGGTTCCGGCTTGTGTTACTACCAGTTTGCTCAGGGGCGCGCTGCGAGCACGCACGCTCTTCACGTGTGTGCTTGATGCGCGCTATGCACGCATGCCCAGTAGTTTAAAAATTGCTTCTGCGCATGCGCAGGAGCAAAAAAAAAGATGGCAGTGACCATGGTGCCGCCAATAGAACCGGTTTGGTGGTGTGTCCGGCCGAGTGATTACCTACTCATCCAAACTGGTCCGAATCGGTAAGAACCCACCTCTGGCTGTCATTGTACCTTTAACACCCAACATCTACTTATTGACTGGGTACTGCCTATCATAATGTAAACTCAATGTCAGGGTTCCAAATAGCATCCAAAAGTAAATCAGAGTCCAAGGCAAAGTAAATCATTCTAAACTTGACTGTAAAAAAGTATGATTATTTCTGTAATAGAGTTTTCAAAGTCTGGAATGCCCTACCTGGTTCAGTTGTCTCAGCTACACATTTTCACAGTTTCAGTCACAAATTGACTTCCGTGGGCCTTACTTTATATCTAAGTGGTGAGTAGAGGGGTTGTGCATAAGTGCACTAATGTGCCTATATCGTCCCTGTCCTTGCATTTTTATTCTCTTACTCCTGTTCTTGTTTTTGTTTGACAAATACTAACAAATAAATAAATAAAATAAATAATAATTATGAAACAATAGAGGCAGAGGCTAATCTCAAGTCAAAAAAACTGCCGAAGAAGAAAATCGACTGATTATGTAAAAGACAGTCAAGTACAATTACTAAAGTTAAAGTTAAAAATTAGAACTTCAGGTAACAGAATATCAATATCAACATAACATAATAAAAACACAAACAGAATGCTGGAAAGGAAAGCTTTACATGATCAGGATCTACAAAAGATGTTTGGAATGTTGTTTATTTAATTTGTATGCCACCCCACTCCCAAGGGACTCGGGGCGGCTAACAACCAAAGATCAAGGAGAAAATGGATAAAAATGAAACCTAGCAATGCCTTAAAAACTGGAATGCTAAAAAAAAGAAAGAAACTGAAGAAACTTAATTTTGCCTGTTCAAGAAGTAACATAATCAGGACCAGAGCTGAAAAATCATCAAATGAATCAAAGTGCAAATTGTAGGAAGAAGCAGAAGAAAAAGTAGATCATATCTTGAGCTCATGCAGGAAGATCCACACAGATTACAAACAACGGCATAACACAGTCACAAAAACGAGTCCTGAAACATTTCTAAAAATAATCATGTACTAGCCATGAAAAATTGGTTGAAATATACTGTTGAAAAAGTAGTTGAAAATGAGCAGGTTAAAATATTGTGAGTTCTCCAGAGACAAATGGATAAAGAAGAAAGCATGAATAACTGGGGTGGCACTACCAGTACCAGTACTGTAGAACAGAAGAGAAAGAATTCCCTGATGGTGAAGCTATGGCACGCGTGCCAAGGGTGGCACACAGAGGCCCCTCTACGGGCATGCGAGCCGTCGCCCCAGCTCAGCTCCACCGCACATGCTTTGCACGGACATGCACAGGGGCAGAGAAGTCGCACATGCATGTGTGAGGGTGGAGGGGGCGCGGGAGGATGCAGTGAGGCTTACTAGGACCAAAATAGGGCGCAAGGGGTTGCATGCTCATGGATGGGGGGAGCGCAACCGGGCCGTGCATATATTTGTGGGGGCAAGGGGGAGTCATGCACGCATGTGCAGGAGAGGGGGACGCAGGAGGTGTCGCACACGCATTGCATTATGGGTGTGGGTATGCACGCATGCTGTCACAGGTGTGTGCACTGCACACAGTTTTGATGACAAAAACGTTAGCCATCACTGTCCTAGGTTCTTGGGAAGAAGTCAATGTGAATGAAGGACAATACCAGTTAAAGAACTAAAATTTGTGATTTTTACATCGTTGCATATAGTAATAATGATTTTCAAGGTCCTTTCATATTAGCTTTTCTTGTACAATCACCACATCACAATGTGTACGTGAGATCCAAAGGTCAAAATTTTCCAGTTCAATTATAATTTCATGGCAGACTTGATTCTCTTGTTCTCACTCCCCAATCACCTTAAAAAAAAATTAAAAAAGCATAGCAAGGAATGTAGAAAGTAAAGTTTGCTAAGTTGAAGCAGGCTTGGCACTCTGGCTGGTCCAAATGTGAGACTCGCATAGTGGAAAAATATGACGGAAGAATGAATATGTGCCACCAGATGGAAAGAGAAGGTGAAAGCTGTTCACCACCGCTGCTCCTCACACACCCTCCCAATACTATCCTGCTCCTGTTCTGTACAATTTCTCTTTTATTTTCCATCTGTCTGCATTTAAAAAAAACACCGTGAATGAAGTTGAAGAGGACATTTTTCAGGGGTTTTTTTCTGCTGAGCTTGCAAAAAACAACAACAACATGCATGCAGAAAATGATTGCTGGATCCAACTCCTATTTATCTTGTTTCTTTCATTGCTAAATTGCAATAACACCTTTCTGTGCATGACAATATTCTACTAAGATAGTTCAGTAGCCTGTTAAACCTTAGATGAGGTAAAGGTAAAGGTTCCCCTCGCACATATGTGCTAGTCGTTCCCGACTCTAGGGGGCGATGCTCATCTCCGTTTCAAAGCCAAAGAGCCAGCGCTGTCTGAAGATGTCTCCATGGTCATGCAGCCGGCATGACCAAAAACACAGAAGGGGCACGGAAAGCTGTTACCTTCCCACCAAAGGTGGTCCCTATTTTTTTGCTTGCATTTTAAAGTGCTTTCGAACTGCTAGGTTGGCAGAAGCTGGGACAAGTAACAGGATCTCACTCCGTTATACGGCTCTAGGGATTTAAACCACTGAACTGCCAACCTTCTGATGGACAAGCTCAGCATCTTAGCTACTGAGGCACCGCATCCCTTTGGTAAACCTTCGTTTAGTTAAGTCATTCAAGATTGTTTAAAGGACCATGAAAATTTAGGAATGAGAAATCATAATTCCGAGAATCAGAATAGAGCAGGAAGGGACCAGGAAGGTCTTCTAGTCTAGCCCCTGCTCAAGCAAGAGATCCTACTACAATTCTAAAGTTCTTTAAAAAGAAGTAAAATATATAATCCAGGTAATCCCAGAATTGCAAGCAACCTTTTTTCTCTAAAGTCTTCCTAATCCCAAAGCAATAAGGAGTTCATTCTGTCCAGAGTTGAGAAACTGCGACGTAGGAAAAAGCCACTGCTTCAATAAAGGACATTGAATAGATTCCATATCAGGTTTCTCTTTCCAGCTGTCTACTGATCTATGCTATTATCAGGACCTTCCACGCCTGCCCTCTTTCTATAATTAGGTTAGCAGCTATGGTTAATCTGGGCCATTTTTCAAAACCAGATTTCCTCAACAGCAGTAGCCGTCAATCAGCAGTTTGAATGGCTCGCATTCTTTCAGGACATGTTGGAATCCAGCACATTGAAGTCCCTGGAGTTGCATCTTCCCAAAGACACGTTACAGAAATAAAACATTTTCTTACCTTCGGCATAGCATTTTCTTCTGCTGCTTGGCTTCCTTCTGACGGACCAGTAATCCATTTGCCTACCAACCCGTCCCTCGGTTGGCTTCCTTGACCATGAAACAAAGCATCCTTGTCGGCAACATTGGTTAACCCCAAGGTGGTCTTTCCTTGTCCGTGAAGCGACGTGACTGAACCTGGATGATTTGTTTCCCTCTGAACTGTATGAAGTTTGGAGTCGTGAAGCGGTTTAGGAGGTAGCGCCTTGGAAGGATCTTCTGAAGAATGGGGCAGACCGGACTTCCCTCGCATCGTTTTCTTCCCCACCTGGATCACTCGCCGAGACTTGATTTCCCCTGAGAAGCTTTTGCATTCTGCTGTATCTTGTTCTTCCGCTGTTGCTGAAGAAACATCTAAGTGTCGTGAAGGTGATTTCATTGCTGAAGTTCCATTTTCTATGCCTTGTAATCCGAAAGGAGAAACATGACAACTTGGGCAACTGTGGCCACGATTTTCTTCTCCTGTTCTGGAGTAATTCTTTTTGATCACCAGTTCTTTCTGCTTTTCTTTGATTTTCATACCGGGATTCATATTCTGCCGTTGTCCAACGGTAAGAGTCATTCCTGTTTGCAAAGTTGATGGTCTGTACGCCGTCAAGTTGCTCCCGACAGCTACCTCTTTGGACTTTGACGGATGTCTCCTGAAGCCAATGGTGGTCTCCATGGGCATAGTGTTATCTGATACTTGACACAGGCGAGGCATTTCACCGAGGAAGTAAGAACACCCATCACAATCAGTACTCGGAATTAGCTCATCCTCCTCGTCATCGCTTTCCAACAGAAACTTCAGCTTTGTCTCCCAATCCTCATGGATCTCCTCCGTCGTCGCATCAGAAGATTCAGTGTCTTTAAGGAAGTCATTCTGAAAACCCTCAGTGACTTCAATAAAGTTTCCATCCAGTTGAGGCTCAATGCCACTATCTACCAAAAAAGAGGAATTCTCTGCTAAGTAGAACTTATCTTCTAGAGGGACCCTTGTGTGACTCTCAGACAGTATGTCCTTTTTCAAAACTTTGCCGAGGCTACCCTTTTCACATGTCTTGGCATATTCGGTTGTTTGACAAGCAGTTAAAGCTTTAGCATTAAAGCAACAGCTGTCCGTGCGCTCAGGAATCTGACTTGCTAGCGTGGAATCTACTTGTGAGCTGTCAAATCCATCTACCTTGCCTTCAATAAAATCCCAACATTCTTCAACACCATCATAAATAAAAAGATCAGAGACACTTTGGGTTGTCCTCGGAATAAAACTGTCATTTCTCTTCAGAGAGGGTACATTGTTATTTTCCATTTTTTCCCCTTTGAGCAATTAGCGTTTTTGTAAGCTAATTTTGTAGGGAAACTGTCATGTTTACAGAAGACTGTTGTTCCTATGGGTTTTTTCGTTCATAGTCCAAAGGATTCTGGTTCTGGAAAATTTAATCAGAAAAATCATGGGTTAGTCACGAGCATTCTTTAAGAGCTAAAGCTTTTATAATTTTTGCACCTTTATTTCAGTTTTCAATATGATGACTATCGCCAAGCTAGATTTGATATTCTTCAGATTCTCTTGAAGTAAGTTTAGGAAAGCTAAAGAATTGTTTTTTATAGCCAAACGCACCAGCTTGATGCTTGCACACCTCTAGATTTTAAAATACATAGAACATTAAATGCTAATCTTTACTTAGATTTATAGGCCCTCCAATTCCATCCATGTAATAGTTATAAGGTAAAGGTTCCCCTCGCACTTATGTGCTAGTCATTCCCGACTCTAGGGGTCAGTGCTCTTCTCTGTTTCAAAGCCAAAGAACCAGCGCTGTCTGAAGATGTCTCCGTGATCACGTGGCTGGCATGACTAAACGCCAAAGGTGCACAAAACGCTGTTACCTTCCCACCAAAGGTGATTCCTATTTTTCCACTTACATTTTTACATGCATTCAAACTGCTAGGTTGGCAGAAGCTGGGACAAGTAAGGGGAGCTCACTCCGTTACACGGCACTAGGGATTCGAACTGCCAAACTGCTGACCTTTCTGATCAACAAGCTTAGCATTTAGTCACTGAGCCACCGCGTCCCTCTAGTCTTTACTATTAATCTTTACTATTAGATATATAGGCCCTCAATTCCATCCATGTAATAGTAATATCAAACAATATACATTCATTTAACAGAGGCATGTTTTAATGTAGGACTGCAGTGCTCCAAATAAGAGGCATCTTTGACTATCAAATGACAAAAGTTCAACCATTTAACATAAGACAGTACTCTGAGATCTAGAATCTAATCTATGACGTAAATCGAATACCAGAGGAGGGAGAATAGATCAAGTAAGCAGGATGTTCTTTACAGCACAGATGACTCCAGGATTACCTGCAGAAGTTTTATGTGGTTATAAAAGTTAAGACCAGTCCAGGTGGATCTTCCCAAAGGCTTAGGCCAGTATTTGGTTTCATAGGGCAGCTGGTCAAACATCCCTGGACCACTCACATGCAGGAGATAGATAGAGACATACCCCTCTTCTGCCATTGTTGCCCTGTGGCTGCCATTTGAAGGCCAGTTCCACAGTGGCTCAGTGGCTAAGATGCTGAACTTGTCGATCAGAAAGGCCGGCAGTTTGGGAGTTCGAATCCCTAGCATTGCGTAATGGAGTGAGCTCCCATTACTTGTCCCAGTTTCTGCCAACCCAGCAGTTTGAAAGCATTTAAAATGCAAGTAGAAAAATAGGAACCACCTTTGGTGAGATGGTAACAGCGTTCCATGCATCTTTGGCGTTTAGTCAT